ATGAAGACTGGGATTAGAAATGACAACTCGCTGAGTCTGCACTGTCAGTATATTATTCTGAGTTGGATTATACTTTACTAGCATTGCCCGCGGCTCCGCCCGCGTTTAGATGACCAAAAACCAAGTTCTTAGGTTTTACATATTAGTATACTCTATATTGCAGTTTTGGTATTTTTTCTCTTAAATGATATGTTTTCCTGTGGTAAAAAGTATCTTATATGTTGACCCGGATAACCAGCTACTATCATACCAAATTTCATCAAAATCCCTCCAATGGTTGTTCAGTGATGCGGTAACAGACACAAAAATTATAAAAACTATAGATTCGGCCTCTTTATCGATAATAATATCTATTTTAATAAGATTTTCCAAAAAATATTTAATGTACAGATTCGGCTTAGTTACAATTTTATTATATGTATAGATTTCACTAATGATGCTGTGAATATGTTAAAATAATGTTGCTATTATATACGACGTTATTTTATTTTCAAAGGAAAGCAGAAGAATATTTCAAAAAGCCAGACACATCATACGAATATAATAAATGGGAAATTTTTAACTGTGTTAGTTTACATTTTTTGTTTTATAATGGCTGAATAGATTTACCTATATACGAGAAAAAACGTAGTTCTTAAATAAAATCATCATATTTTAAAATTTTCCAAGCTGATGTGTCACAACCCTAAACACCCACGTCAAAAAATGTATTTGGACCAACTCCAAGCAATCAAAAAACCATACAAAACAGAATTACAAAAGATTCACGTTACATACACGTCTCGCTTATTTCGTTGAAACACTGCGATCCGCTTTGATTTAAAGGTTTTTTTTTTAATATTTTTATGATATAGATGTTTACTTTTTAACCTTTGACGTTGTTTGCAGTTTATCTTTGTTTTTTAAATAATCATGATTAATTTACAAAAAAATTATTTATTTTTCGTAAACATTAATAATATGACAAATACATTTTTTTTATGGAAAGTTAAATAATTGAAATTTATTTTGATTTCTCAAAAATTGATTTTGATGATGCGTCGTTAGACACGTCTTGATAACGTAGATAATACTATGTTCCTCCGGCAATTTGTTCTCATCTTTTTAATTCGATTTTTATGCTGTCGGTTTCTTTTTATTTTTATATTGTAGTAAACTATCACAACACACAAATAACATGCTTTGGGATAATGATCTGTATAAGATTAAAGCCTAAACCATTGTTTCAATCATGTATGTACCTATACAATAGATCTTTCAATAGCGACTTTGTAAATGTATGGATAAATACCTCGTAAGATGATCATAATATGAAGAGACCACACACATTATGATTTTCAAATAGGTACTGATAGAATATACGTGTAGGTATATTCTATATATAGAGCGAATTATCAAAAAAATACTGTGTAGTATTAAAGTTGTATCATCCCCTTAAGGGATGATTTCCGGGGTAAAAACTATTCTATGTCCTTCCCAGGGTCTCAAACTATCTCTATACCAAATTTCATCTAAATCGGTTCAGCGGATTAAGCGTGGAAAGGTAACAGATAGACAGACAGAGTTACTTTAGCATTTATATAATTTGTACAATGCTTGTAATTTTTCATTATTTAAATAGTTTATTTTTAATGCACTGTCAAAAACGTAATATAAAAGGCATCTATGGACTGTATGAATTAGAATAAATATATCTTTATTTATTTTTATTATTTCATATTTCAAACAAATAGTTTTGAACAATGAACTGAGTTGTGATTTGAATGAGATGAATTACCACGGCTGTTTGAAAATTCAATCGAATAAGTCAGCAGGCAAATCCATTACAATCAAAAATCAAACTTAAATTTACTTTATAATACCATAAACCTGTAGAACAAAAACTTAGAACCCAAAAAAATAATAGTGATATCCTGAGCCTCTAAGATCCTTTCATTTGTCAATGACAATGCCTGAGTTTAAAAAAAATAAACGCACAGACAAATATTATCACGAAATCAAATGCACATACTTAGAAATTAGGATATGGCTGTCTATTGTTTTTTTTTTTCAGATAACGCAAATTTCGAATTCGCATTTATATAGAATTTTCGTTGCATCCTTTCGTTTAGTCCATCCGTCCTATACTGTCGGAATAAAATTTTAAATTATTTTAAATGCCAAGAACGGTCGCACGTTAGGGTTCTCACGGACCGGCTATTGTTTTTGGGAGAAAAAATTTTTGATGATTGAGTCTTGAGAAAAGTTTTTTGGCGTCAAGGGCGCAGGTTTGCATCTGCTTAACATGTGCAACTAATCGATATTTTCGGTTTGCAAATAGTGATTTCCACAGATTTATCGATAACTGGACAAATATTGATGTACGATGATTGTTTTACTAAAGTACCATTAATATTATATGATTAGAGTAGGTACTTGTTATATCATATTTAAATTAATAAGATTGAATAGTTAATTTTTGATAATATTTATATGTAATATTTAAATATGTCACAGTGATATGCATAGGTATATTAGATTTATTTTTAGTTTGTTCTTAGAGTTCAGCTTAAAAATAAAATATTATCGTCAAATTAAAGTATTTTTTATGTAAGTTATGTAGGTACGTACGTATTAACCTATTGCCTGGTGTTTTACAATTTACATGGAATATTATCTATACAGTATACATATGTACAGAATTATGTCTATAGAAGTCTATATTAATAAAAAATATTTTATTATTTAGTAAATATCGATCATAATTATCGACGTGACTGTTGGATTGTCACATCATTGCTCTGCCCATAAGTCACAGGCCACAAACTTGCGGGTCTGTAACCGTTAACGTCTCAGCTCTCAGCGAGTCCACTTTAAACAAAACAATGTAATTTTTTACATGTTACTCTCATTCCCTTACTATATTTTCTGCATCAAATATCTCGGTTTATTATTGAAGGAATTCTATATTGATATTGTTAAGAAATTCTCTAAATTTATATGCAAAGAAATACTTAGAATTTATTCTATGCCTATACTCGTAATATGTGTAAACTCGACAGCAAGTAATAACAGTCTAAGATAGTGTAAAATTCATACCAAAACTTGAAACAATTTTATCTATTTCATTACAGAATCAGAATATTTATATATATTTATGTCCGTATGAGAAATTTTCTATCATTACTTTTCATCTAAAACGTACATAATCACGTTATGATTACATATTTTGTATGGTATTATACTCGTATAAATAGATTATTAAAATACAAGTGGTCTAACAGTAGTTGAAGATTTAACCTATCATACACAAGAAAAAACAGCCAAATGAATACCACCAACCTTTTTTGAAGTCGGAATAAAAACGAGCTTCATTTAAAACAACGTGTATACTAACAATTCATATAAATCGGAGCTTTTCATTGTTTACACAAGCATAATTCGTTATGTTAATCCTTTAAAATGTGCATCCACAGCCGCCATGACAGAAATAATTTTAACTTTTACGACCACATAAGGATTTATAAGTGTAATATTTAGCATGCATAAACTTGAGATTCCGGCATGTGCAGCACGTACAAGTGATTTTAAAAAAATTTATTTTCAATTAATTTATGTGCCATATTTAAAGAAAACACGTAATTATGTAATTTTGTATATGTGTTTAATTTTATTTTTGTTTTTTTTTTTTTTTAATTTACACATTTTAATTATGTCAAATTAATATTGATGAAAATAAAACTGATACAAATCTTTGAATTTCTCGACTTTTCTGTTATATAATATGCATGTATTATACATATAAACCTTCTTCTTGAATTACTCTATCTATTAAAAAACCGCATTAAAATCTGTTGGGTAGTTTTAAAGACCTGAGCATACATAGGGACAGACAGACAGCGGGAAGCGATTTTGTTTTATACTAGTATGTAGTTATTATTTAAAATTTAGTTTGTAGTTTTTTTTTTTTTTTAATTTACACATTTTAATTCTGTCAAATTAATATTGATGAAAATAAAACTGATACAAATCTTTGAATTTCTTGGCTTTTCTGTAATATAATATGCATGTATTATACGTATAAACCTTTCTCTTGAATTACTCTATCTATTAAAAAAACGCATTCAAATCCGTTGCGTAGTTTAAAGATCTAAGCATACATAGGGACAGACAGACAGCGGGAAGCGATTTTGTTTTATACTAGTATGTAGTTATTATTTAAAGCTATTTACCGTGCCATACCATGTTCTGAATATATTTTTAATAATTATTTCACAACAAAGTATGTATGTACCTATACATATATGAAGACATCTTGAAAAATGATCCGACCTTAAAATAAGCTTTAAAGCTCTTTGCCTCGAACAGGTAAGTAGGCAATAACATCGGGCTGAATGCATTAAAATTGTATATTGGGGGAGAATTTATTACCTTCAGGTGTAAACGGTGTGCAAATGTTCGTATTTTTAAATTATCGTCCTATATATAGATACTTAGAAGAAAATTTAAAATCTAAGTTGTAGTACATAATATCATAAATTATAATAAATATGTTGAGACATTAACACACAAAACCATCTCGTTCCATGGTTATGTCATGGATACCAGATAGTTAATACACTACACATATATAAATTTAATAAAAACATATTATAAGTATAAACACCCATGACTGGAGTACAAATGTTCGAGCTCATCACACAAATGTATGCCCCCAGCGGGACTCGAACCTGCGACCGCTGGCACAGCAAGTAGGGTCACTACAAACTGACCCAACCGGTCGTCAAGAGATAGAATAATTTTTTTTATTTTGAATGGTTAATACTTTGTGGTCATAATGAGAAAATATATATTTTTTTTTAATTCTTAGATATTAGAAAATTATAGATGTTGAGTACAGAATAATGTACCTACTAAATTAATTTATATTATAAAATAAGATCATTTTATGGATAATTCATATTACACTATAATGGTTGTAGATTGAAATAATTTAATTATGCACCTTTTTTTTGTTCCAGATGGTAGAAATGCTGTGATAGAAGTATCGACGTATGAAAAACTACGGCTTATATGCGGATTGAAACAGAGACAAATGTCCTCAATACACTTCTTTTTTGATGGAAACCCTATCGAAATATTTTCCTGGGACAGTCAATTGAGACAACGGATGGTTCAACAAAAACAATGGTTTGATTTGTTCTTGTTATTTTCCTTAAATAGTTAAAGTCATATGAATTTCATTTAGTCTTTAGTTCGTTTTGTTTAGTTGTAAAAAAGCAAATTATTGAAATATTTTCTTATAGAAATTTATATCTTAACTCACTTACCCTCGCTCGGGTGCGTTTCTAGATGCGTTTTAGTTTTTTTGAGCGGAACCCTAATTCTTTTTCTAAAATAAACGTAGCTTAAGATACTCCTTATAACATCAGCTACCTGCCAGTAAAAGTCCTGTCAAAATCGGTCGAGCCGTTTCGGAGATTAGCCAGAACAAACATACAGGCAGACAGAAATTTAAAAAAAAAATGTATTTTTCTCCTAAATACCATATATACATTCAAATGTATTTAGTAAAAATCTGTTATTTAGATATTACAATCTATAAAGCTATGGTAGATATAGTGGAACTATCTGAGATTGATCTAAATCAAAAAATATTTATTGATCGTTCGCATGTTTGATTCTAGTGTGAGTAGAATACTTTAACTAAATAAATTGAATATTCATCATATTGAAGTAACACATAAATAATGTAAATCGTATTTATAGTGCAATGACAGGACAACCAAACATACAAAACGACTATAACGCAGTAGCGCAGAGATCAAAAATAACTAGTTTACACGTAACCCGAGAACAACATGCTAATGTAACTAAAGTTTAGTTAAATTAAGTTATGCACATGTTTTTTGAATCACATCCACATCGAATAACTAGAAAACTAAAAATATCCTTGCACTGAATCTAAACCAAACAACTTACACCAATATTTATGCTTCTCTATTGGAAACTGAAACACGCAATAATTCATGTGCAATGGAAACACGCGATAGTATTCCAGATATTTGAAAATATTATATTAAATCAATCATAGGCGCAAATCGGTATTAGGGAAAGTATGAAATTGACGCGATTTATTCGATTTATTTTAGCTTTTCATGATAATTTATATCTAATATGTTAAGATGCTGTTTTTAGATGTATGAAAATGGAAATCGATTCCGTTGAAAGTTTGGCTAAGCTTACACAGCTCTAGAAGCTCTAGCTAGCTCTATTTATTAGACATTTATTTCGAAATTAGATTTACTTGAAAAAATTACCTTATAAATTACGAAAACATTATGCAATAATCATTCATGTACTATATATATAAATCAATTATGTTCGAAAACTCTAAATTTTCATAAATGTGTGTTAAATTTGCAAACAAAAATAATTAAAATATACTGAATATCTTACTTCACTTTATACATATTTTTTTTATAATTATAAATATGAATAAAATTTATATTTATAATTATAAATATTTTAACTATAATTATAAATAAAATCTATATACATACATAGATAAACTTAAAAAGACTACTACTACTAAATACTTTATCTAAATACACGAAATAAAAATATATGTATCCATACAAGAATTGCTCGTTTAATATTATAAGAAATATCTTACGTGATTTGAAAATAATTAATATTCATTGAAATTCATGGTATTGTAGGTTAAGAATAAGATCGTTCAGAGCAAAAGATGCTGGGAAATATTCTTGCACGAGCGATGAGGATAAAAGCAAAGAGTTGATCGTCACAATTAAACACAAGCCAGATTTCGCACCGGATAACATTGAAGGTAAGTTTGTTTCCCTTTTACTTTATAACTTACACAGTCTTCAAACATCTGTACAATTTTCGCTATTCTACATACTAACTTTCCCAGTGTCTGTCTGTGCTTAGTTATTTCAATATATTTAATCGGTGTCTTTATTGCCGCCCAGATGTGTAAACATAGCAAACGTCCTGGATTCCGAGGCAAATGTAAGCTGTAATGCATATAAGCGCCGACGTTTATTCAATTAAAATATTTCTTGAGTTTCGCAGTTTGTTGGCTGTATTCTTTATTTTATTGGTTTAATCTCCCTGATGCTATTCGGAATATAATAACAAAGAATTTTAGTTGGATCACTCGGAGTATTTCTATTTATTCATAGCTTTTGAATTACAAATGGCTTTGTATTGAAATGTTTAAGTGTTGTTCATTTAAATATTTAATATTCTTCTTTAAGATATATTTTGCGCCTTTTATTTATCCGTCTAGGTCATTTTCAAGTTCAGATTTTGAATACATACTTTAAAAATTCTATACTTTGCCTTAAATAATAATAATGAATAGTTAAATAAACGAAGATAATTTTACAGAATATCAGTCAGACGTAGACGTCTTACGACCGATGCCCGAAATTCTATCACAACATTCAGCCCCTTTGGTAGATAATAACACTATCGAAGAAAACGCGAATGATCAAAAACTAAAATACAAAGAATATGACAATAAAGACGACGATCTTGATGAGAAGAACGAAAAAGAACATCTTAATTATGGACATGTTGACGATACTAAGTCCAAATATGAACCAAAGTTTAGGCATCCGTCGAAAATGTTTAAGATGGAAATGAAACCGGCAGGAAGCTCGATCCGCTTTAAATGCCCATCAGAAGGTAACTGCTTGACATAATGTTCTTAAATATTAGATGCGTATTAGGAGTATCCTTTGAGATTCCTATAGCTTTAGCAACTAAACATTTATATTTGACGACACATTTGGCTCAGTTGGAGTGACCTCACTTGGTGCACCAGCGGTCGCGGGTACGAGTCCCGCTGGGGGCATTCATTTGTATGATGAGTACAAATGTTTGTACTCCAGTCAAGGGTGTTTATATTTATAATATGTATGTATTTAAAGTTATATATATGTAATGTATCAAGTACCTGGTATCCATAACACAAGTCTCGTAGCTTTCCGTGGAACTAGATGGTGCTGCGTGTGGTAATGTCCTAAAATATTTATCTATTTACCTCTTATAGAATGTATTTTTTTCCTCATTGATAGGATAACTACTAAAATCATTTATTACAATTTAGGTAACCCAATGCCAAATATAACTTGGTATAAGAATAACGGAACGCCTATATCAAGAATTTACTTCAAACCGTCGTACGGGAAGTGGTCGATGGCACTTGATGAGCTGACGAAAGCAGATAATGGAAATTACACCTGTAAAGTTTGTAACGAATTGGGATGCATCCAGCACACTTATACACTTCACATTCAAGGTAAAGAATTATTTAAATAACCATATTCTAGATATTTACATAAAAATTTACATCACAATCACATATATTTGAAACATACGTACCACGTAGTAGATATTTTTTTGGTTTCAAAAGTGACGACAGTATTTCAATAGTAAGATGAAAAATTATTTTTAACTTTATTTTAAAAATTATAAAACTGAAGCTTACATTGCTTTAGAACGATATCCATCGAAGCCGTATATTAAAGAAGGGTATCCGGGGAACATAACAGTTCTCGTAAACGATACGGTGCAGTTGACTTGCCCGCCTGTCTCTGATCTAGAGCCTGACGTATATTGGATTAGACCTACAAATTATTCTGTAAAAGATTCAGAAGTCGGCCCCAGTGACTCACCAGCTCCTGTTGGAGATATAGTTGAGGTGCCTTTAGATTTTTTGAATTTAGGTGGAGGTACTGGAAATAACATAGTATTTAAAATGTTTATTTGGTTAATAACGATGATTAAAGGTGATAATTCTATATGAAAGTAGTAATGGTAATGGGTCTCAACCATATGGTGGTGGTAAACGTCTCGTTTAAGCACAGAATCCTTTAATTTTAATGTGCACACATCAAATATTTAACAAATATCATCATATATTTTAAGGTATAATAAGAATAGCTTTAAGTATAACTGGTATTTTATTCTGTTGTTCATTTTTAATACTCACATAATCATTTTATTCAAAATATATTTAGTGGTCGTATTATATATATTTATGTCGAAATGTATCATTCAAAAAATTGTTTTGTTCATAGAGCGTTTATACGCGAAGCCCGTGCTAACTCAAGCGGCTGTCAATCAAACAAAGTTGGTCGGTGAGACAGCTAGGTTTAGTTGTGAGTTCCTCACCGACCTCCACCCGTCTCTATATTGGATGTATTTCAATAAACACGAGTACATCTATAACGAGACTACTACAGACGTCTCTACTAAAGAGTCAATTGTGTATAAAGATGTTACAAAAATTGTCACGGTGAGGGTTTTGTGACTAACGCTTGTTTGGTTGTTTGCATGATTTGTCCACACATTTTCTAAGATAAAAATTTTGACAGAAAAAATCATTTATACTTGTTTCTGTCTATTTTAAAATTTTGTTTCTTAAAATATTAATTTTAAAGCATATTTTTATTTTTATACTCGTATGTATTTTCTAGAAAAAAATCTTGTTTTTTTTTATTACTCTATATCCACAGATCATATAACACTATACTAATGATATACGTACTTTTGTTATTCAATATATATGAAAAGGATTCCATTGGCCTACAAAAAGGTCAATTCCATAACTTCATTGTATAATCACTTTGTCGCGTTCACGCCTACGGACTTGGCATCTTTCTTCAATTAAAACTTATTTATTTTTATTGAAAATATAAATAGCCGATATATATTTACTGGGTGTTATTTACATCTTCACACGTTTTCCTATAAAAATTAGTGATTTCTCTTTTAGTATATTAAAGATATTGATTTTCAGACTATAATATGATAACTGCTTCGCACAGAAATCTTTATGAAAGTTCATAACTAAGGAGTTGTAAAGGCAGTGCCAATCAGGCAGATACTGTACCTGCTCTAATATAAATGTCATTTAATACATATACATACTATAACCACAGATCATATAATACTATACTAGTACTATAATAAAACATTTAATTAAAATCCATGTAATTTTGTCTTCTAATCCTTATATTTTGCATGACTAACAAGCATGGCTAAACTAATAATATAACTAAAATACTCCAAAATTTATAGGTAAAAGCTTCGTTGCCTTCCATTAAACTACTAAACACTGAAAATATATTGCGCCTAAAATTTCCCAACATGCAATTTGTTTGGAAATGTTATTGCAATAGATAATATGCATAATTTACGCGTCTTTACATCTGTATTTGCTATTACAGAGTGAAAACCCGGAAGATAAACCTGAACAACTAACACTTTACAACGTTACCAAAGAGGACGAGGGTTGGTATGTTTGTGTAGCCCTCAATAGTCTTGGGAACACTACTGCGAAAGGATATCTCACTGTTTTAGACTGTAAGTTAATACTGAGGATTTATATATACGTATGAATAAGTAAAATAGTGTTGAAAGTTTTTACGTTTTTATTTAAACAGGAAAAAATTTTAACAATTGAATTTGTCATGAAAGAAATAAAAAGATTAATATTAATCCAAGTATTATGATTAGTTTATTTAAAAAAATAGTAATATAAAGATGTAGAGTATAATATTATTCATTATTAGTTAATAAAGTATCAAAAATATAACTATTTTCTTGTGCAATAAAGTGTTATAAAAACAAATTAAAAAAATATAAGCTATCTTCATACCAGCGCGAGAGTAACAAGCGCACTCACAAACTTTGGCATTTACAATATCAGTAGCATAATTTGTCTTGAAGGATATTAAACGTAATATGAACTAAAATTATATTTCAGCATTACCAATAACAGAAGTACTAGATCATGGCAAACACACTGTAGTTGTAAACGTTGTGACCGCGGTGCTTGGAGCTATGTTCTTCGTAGCAGCGATCATTGTTGTGATGATATTCAAGAAGTTAAGACAAGAGAAGGAGAAGAAGCAATTGGCAATAGAAACAGCAAGAGCTGTAATAGTGACACATTGGACGAAGAAAGTCACTGTTGAAAAGCCTCAGATGAACGGTACACCGAATGCGGCTGGAGAAGGTTTGGTAAGTTTGATTTTGTTGACGTTTGGTGAAGTTTTGATAAAATGAAATGTTTCTTTCAAACTGTAGCTTGTTATTGCCTTTTAATAATATATCCTGATTAACTCTCACCGGTCGTGAGAGGAACGCGTACGAGTGCACTCCCTAGGAATGCACTCATGTGTACTATATGTGCATGCATTCTTGTGCACTATAATATCTCCTGCGCAGATGATTAGTCTAAAGTCAGGACATCGTGTTATTATTATTTTTTAACAAACATTTTATTATTTCGTTACAGTTAATGCCAGTAGTAAAAATTGAAAAACAGAAGTTATCGCAAGTCCAAAGTAATACTTGTGATTCAATGATGATGTCAGAATACGAACTACCAGTCGACATTGACTGGGAAGTACCGAGAGAGTCACTGTGTATAGGGAAAGTGCTGGGTGAAGGAGAATTTGGAAAAGTGGTGAAAGCTGAATGTGTCGGGATATTGAAGCCAGGGTTGCAGTCTGTCGTAGCCGTCAAGATGTTAAAAGGTATGAATTAAATATATTGTTATATTTTTTTAAATAAGTTCTTTTTACAATATAATATAAATTAATATAAATTATAAATAATAGAGTTTATTTAAGTTTAACTTTAAAGGATTTTATTGACAAAACTAAAATCATCCTAATTTTGCATACATTTTTATACACAAGTGCAGAAATCCTTATCTATATTTCAATTTATTTCAGAGGGCCACACAGACGCGGAGATGATGGCATTAGTATCAGAAATGGAAATGATGAAGATGATAGGAAAACACGTGAATATTATCAATCTGTTGGGATGCTGCACTCAAGATGGACCGCTTTATGTAATCGTAGAGTACGCGCCGAATGGCAATTTAAGAGAATTTCTAAGGAACCATAGACCTGGAAATAGGTTAGTTTAATGTGTCTAATTGTGTTCTAATTGATGTTTAGCATATTTGTCTTAACTTATTGCAAGAGAAAGTTCTCAAAACATGTCGAAATGTATATCTACAGTATTTTGAAAAATGAATACCTATAAATTGAATACCTTGTGACCTGCACAAATTAAGAACTCCGATTTGATAAAAATTTCTGTTGTTATAACTGATTTAACTATTTATTTCAGATACGAATCTCCTGCAGAGGACTTGAAAGAAAAGAAAACTTTAACACAAAAAGACTTAGTGTCCTTCTCGTACCAAGTAGCCCGGGGAATGGAATATTTAGCATCAAGAAGGGTAAATATTTTATCAAATAAAAACAACCCGTCTATAGTTTTTCGCCAACGTTCACTTTTTTATCTATCTTTACTGCAAGAACCTTTTTCTACATAACATGGTAAATTCTAATCTAATCTTCTAAACTTCTCTTCTGAAACTACCACCTTGGAAATTGTCTCTACACTTAAATGATATTTTTTCTTCAAAAGTTAATTCTTTATTGAATTCTGATTATAAAATTAAATTCGATTTGCAGTGCATTCATCGAGATCTCGCAGCACGTAACGTGCTAGTGTCAGATGACTGTGTCCTCAAAATAGCAGATTTCGGTCTCGCAAAGGACGTGCACAGCAACGACTACTACCGCAAGAAGACCGAGGGCAGGCTGCCGGTGCGGTGGATGGCGCCCGAGTCACTCTACCACAAAGTGTTTACAACACAGACTGACGTGTAAGTGTTCAGAGTTTAGATAAAAATATCTATCTTAATTATGAATATAGTAAATTATCGAATTAATATACTTAGGGCTTAAGTAAAAGTTATTTTATTAAATGTATAATGTAAGGTTTTTAGCTAATGTTTTTGAAAAAGTAGTGGTAGCCCATTTGCAATACGCTTTAATGTCTAAGTGAATGTCTGAGGAGGCTTAACTAGTTTTCGAAAGGCTTGTGAAGTTTGAAATAAATCTTGCATTATTAAATAAGAGTACAATACGTGAAATCGTAAATGAAATTAAGAGTCAAAACAGATGTCCGCCACTAATTTCTAATATAAATTAAGCTTTAATGATGATATAATTAATGTTAACAAGTATGTCATAATCAATAATCATAATAGGACTTTGCTTAATAAAAATAATAACAATTTCAATGTGATGTGATGACACGTTTGGCTCTGTTTGTAGTGACCCTACTGGCTGTGCCAGCGGCACGGGTTCGAGTCCCGCTGGGGGCATTCATTTGTGTTATGAGCACGAATGTTTGTACTCCAGTTATGGGTGTTTATATTTATAATATGTTTGTATTTAAAGTTATATATGTGTAGTGTATCAACTATCTCTAACATCTTTAGAGAGCTGTGTATTAATGTCCCAACATATTTATATATTTATTTAATCACAACAGGTGGTCTTTCGGTGTGCTCCTCTGGGAGATCATGACGTTGGGCGGCACGCCCTACCCCACCGTGCCCGGCCAGTACATGTACCAGCACCTCAGCGCCGGCCATCGCATGGAGAAACCGCCGTGTTGTAGTCTCGAAATGTGAGTTTATTTTATAATTCTATTGAACGACTAATTTAATTTTATTAAATGCCTAATTCAATTCATATACAAAAAAAAAATACTGTGTAAGAAGCGAACTTAAAAGATGGATGCTAGTTGACATGGGAACGTAGTATTATGTAGAAGACATGTAGCAAAAGTCAAGCAATTGTAAAACACTATTTTTATTTACCTTTGTCCTTCGCTGCAGTTAGGTAAAGAATAAGTATACTCAGTTCGGCTTCATTGGTGAACTGATTTTCATGATTTAATGGTCGCATATTTTCAAGAAGAGTTCCCACACTTAGAAGTGTATTAAAATTATTCAAAGTGACATTGAAATCCGGTGTATTTCTTTAGTAAAATATATATATATTTTTAAAATCTACTACTAATTAAGTTGTATAACAGGTGCTGTCGTACGTTGATTATAATAATATCAAAGTTAGGGATGACCATCTAAAATAATTGAAAATATAGTAAAGTAACAAAAGATTACTTTGGTAATACATTTTTTAAGTGACACCATTTTTTGTCAACTTAATTACTCTTCGTTGTCACGGCGACCAATCTTTATCACACACAGAAATAACCAATAATATTTTGATCTACCTTATTTAATAATAACTATATTACTATAAGATATCAATTTTATATCAACGAAGAGCTTTTCTTTTGACAATATTTAAGTATCTTTTTTTTCAATTCCAGATACATGTTAATGCGTGAGTGCTGGTCCTTCTCTCCCGGAGACCGACCGTCCTTCACCGAGCTGGTTGAAGATTTAGACAAAATCCTAACAGTTACAGCTAACCAAGAATATCTAGATCTAGGTCTACCACAGCTAGATACACCACCGTCTAGCTATGACGGTTCTGGAGATGAGAGTGATAGCGAGTTTCCGTTCATAAAATAAATATATAACATACCTCTTTACAGGTTCGTAGTATTGGGAATATTATTTTGTGAAGGAAATCTATTTAGGTTTTCTGATACGTGTGGTTATTGTACAGATAAGTAAAGTCAGTTTTATTGACTTGTGTGGTTATATATGATTTTTAGGTTCTATGACTGCATAGATGTGTTTGTATGTATGTCTATGTTTTGTAACGGTTAAGACGTACGAGTATCTATTGATAAAGAAATGTTGCAAAGATTGAGTGAGGATTATTCGATTGGAAGATGATCCGAATCTATTGTTAACGAACTTTTACTTTACTGACAGTAGTCACGTTAGCAATTACTTTGTTATTGTACATTTTACGATATCTAGTTTCGAATATTAACTCGTAGTAGAAGCTAGACGTAAACAAGAAAATATCACTATTTTTTTTCAGTATTTCGTTTTTATTATATTGTACTCGTTAATAATGAGATTAATTGCATTTTTTATTATCATAAGATAATGTAGCAATTTCTTTTTCCCACCTTAGAGTTAAATAAATGTCAGGGAAGTCTACAGACTATAACTATTATTTAGTGAAATATTTTTATTTTATCTGTATTTTATTTATTTATATTATCTACAGATTTTACTTTAGGTTATAGTAAAAATATTAACGCGTATATTATTCTGATAAGTTTATTTCGATACGTATATATGAAAAAAATAATAATTACAAGATTGTTTTTTTTTTGATAAGCGTAATGTTGTATGATTGACATGATATTATTATTTTTAATATTTATTTTTTTTATTGTAATTTACCAAATATTCATGACAAAGCATAATATTTCATTTATTTTGTAAATAATTTTCTTTTTTTTTCTTTATATTATAATGTTTTTTGTATATAAATATACTAGTACCAAAGTTTGTTTACGAATCGCCGTATTTTATGAAAGTATTATAGCGTATGGCTACTTTAATTAAATATTTCCGCATCTTACTCTCATTTCGTTGCTGTTTTTAGACATTTTTTACTTTACTATATTATTGATTATATTATGTTTTAAATAATTCTGTAGCAATTCTATAAAGATATTAGATTATATGCATTAATAAAACATTAATTACTAATACCATTTATTTGACTTTTTGACGTCAATATTCATTTGTTTTCTTAAATATGATTTTTTTTAAATAAGACTGCCAATAACAATAACCCTTTTAAATAACACATTGTTAGTCACATTTGTATAGTAGTCAGTAGATAATGCGTATAATCCGATATTTTAAAAATAATAGCAGAAATCTAGTCCCTTCTATTTTTTAATTTGACTGATTAAACGTCAGTTTAATAAAATTGCTATAATTAATTGTACTTAATTAGAATTTAGTTAGATGAAAGATTAAAAGGTTGAAGTTCAATGTAAATATTATTAAAAAAAATATTTTAAAAAAGATTGGCTACGTGGAACTTTTTTTTTATTGTAACCTAGTGCAATAAAGCCTAGAGTACAGTGAAGTTATTCCCACGTGTCAGTTTGAAATTGCAATTATGTTTGCGTTATTAATTCTTATTATGATAGAAATCCAATTGTCGATGTATTATAGAAAATAATGGAATGGAATTAATTATATGTAAATAGTATCAAAAGTCGTGCATTATCAAATGAAATACTTATTGAAGTTTCTTATCTTGTTTGTATATTTGATCATATGTATTGTATCGATGTTGTAATGAGCCGATGTGGAATAAAATATGTTTAGTGCAAATTTAAATGAGTTTTTATTCAAACGTAGAATAAACTGGCATTGCCCGCGGCTCCGCCCACGTTCAGTAGACCAAAAACAAAATTCTTAGGTTTCACCCTCTTACATTGCAGTTTTTGAGTTTTTTCTCAGAAATGAGACGTTTACCGATAACCAGCTATCACCATACCAAATTTCATCTAAACCCCTTCAGTGGTTTTTCTGTGATGCGGTAACAGACAGACCGGCAGACAAAAATTCTAAAAACTATAGATTCGGCCTCTGTATCCATAATAATGTTTATTTCAATAAGATTTTCCAAAAAATATTTAATGTACAGATTCGGCTTAGTTACAATTTTATTATATGTATAGAAGAAAAGAAATTTAGTAATTAGAAATATGTATATAAAATGAGTACCAGGTTAAAAGAGGCATAAGTTTATAATATAAAATAATTACGAATCAAAATTAATAATAATTAATGAAAAAAAATTAAAATTATTTATTTAAAGCACGTACAAAATCCATAAAACTGTTTTTTTAAATAGACCTATAATACAGCGCCATCTCTTATATGCTTTAAGAACTTTTTATGTCGCATGATTTGATTGAGAAGTTCTATAACAGATGGCACTAAGAGGGACGTCTTGTGTAATATGAAAATTGGAAAATCTTATTGAAATCGTCATTATTACAGAGGCCGAATCAATAGTTTTAAGAATTATTGTCTGTCTCTCTGTGGCCGCATTACGAGAAAACTACTGGACAGATTTTGATGAAATTTGTATGATGATAGGTGGTTATCCGGGTCAACATTTAGAATACTTTTTACTGTGGGAAAATATCTCATTTCTGAGAAAAAATACAAAAACTGTATTGTAAGAGTATACTAATATAAAACCTAAGAATTTGCTTTTTGGTCATATGAACGCGGGCGGAGCCGCGGGCAATGCTAGTTGAAAATAAATAAAAAACCATTGGAATTTGTCATTGAATTTATTATCTGTCAGTAAACATGACTTAGCCCTACATAGTCGATTATACAAAATTCATACAAAATCGTTATATCCTAATCTTATATAGAATACTTTTAAACAAAACATTTTTAATGAATAACACGCACATAAATAAAACAATTTTTTTACAAGAAAAATCACATGATAGCTTAAACTAGATTCATATAATACTTTATCAGTTTTAGATCTAACAATGAAATAACGAACGAGGAATATAGGCACATGAAGTAATTTTCAATTTAATTAGGCTATAATCGTTAGTAGTTTCGTAATCGTGCATCGTTTTTGAATTTAATAGTTTAAAATTTAAAATAAAAAAAATGCATATAAGATTTTTTATATGCAATTAACAACAAAATAGTACCTACCAAAATAAATATTCCCACCAATCACATTACAGCGTGGCAATTTTTATTAGAAAAGAAAATTCTGAAAATTATCATATAAATAACAAACTGTGGTATCAATATCAAATGAAGCCCGCCAACTTGCCAGCGTGGTGGACAAAGACCCTACTTGTAGTAAAGGGAGGTCCGTGCCCAGCAGTGGGACGTTAAAAAAAAGGCTGAATACCATATAAATAAACAATATACAAAATAAATGTCATATATACAATATACAAACGTATTCATTCAACATTATTAACAAACTGCGACCATACATTTCGTTCATAACAAGACCTATTTCAAGGCAATTGCATCGCCTCTGTAATAGAAACTAATCTATCACAATTCACAATCTTTGATTACATAACGTCAATAGTCAAAAAGCCCCCAATTAAAATAATCTAAATAGAGCATTAAAACAAAAATAAAAATGTTTTGATTTTCTATCTTTCTTTAATATTATTCGATAGAAAAGGATAGAAAATATTTTATTATTTATCTTCTCTGACGCATATTTAACATTATAAATCAGCCATAAATAGCAATCAAAAGCCCATCGATAATGTAATTAAATAACGAGATCACTCTTACCCACAATAAATTGTATAAGATTCAGCTATTCCGTATATGAAAGAAACATCGATATTTTGATATAGCATCCAGAAAATACGGCTAACAGAATGTGAAGTTAAGTGGCCAGCCACAAAAATAACTTTCACATCCACAGAAAAAAAAAGCTGCAAGCCATTCAACTGATAATCACATATTGACACAACGTAATTTTTTATCTGGAATTCTCGAGGCGAACTGATAGCTTGGAACAACTGCTTGTACTTGGGGTTCTGGATCATTTTCTTCTTTTTCTACCATCAGAGATCTTAAACATATCCTCATATCCGCTGCAAATTTCCTAACCAGCCTTTCCAAAGAAAACAAATGCTCGTCCAAAGCTTCAGGTATTTCTTCTCTCATGAAATCTGCTAATTTTAACACGTACTCTACATTCGAGCCAGATGAACCACGACATTCTAAAATTTGTTTAGCCATATCAGGTAAAGGGGCAGCGCCGAGCCAATGTTTATTTTCTGGCACGGCAATGTACAGAAAGGCGTCTTTCTTATCTGAATGACTGTTTGATGGTAGAAATGAGGGTTTTGGATGGAAATTAACTGTGTAAGTCCGATATCCTCCTAGCTGGCATTCTCTGGTAGATAGGTAAGGTAGTGCTGCATTATTCTCTGCTGCAACTAAAAATGCTTTCCCCCATGTTACTCCCTGAAACAAAGGAAAAAGAAATATAAATATACATATCAAATGACGAAAAAAAACAGAAACGTATATTATTGTCAGACGTTAGTTAGTGTCGCAGTAGATTCGATTCCCAGTCATGGTAAATATTTATAGGTATTTTAACTCTACGACAAGTTTGATTGACGAAAATAGTAATATTGAATGTTATGTGTATGTATCTATGTATAGGTTTCCTCCGCCTACTACAAAGTGTAGTATTATGTGGAAATATTTTTTTTGATAAGCTTCTTGTTTCAACACCTAATTGTTTACAGTGGTTTGTTGGTAACGTTAAATTGTATGCGCTGAACTGTGTAATTTTATACAGCCGTGTCTGATTCAGCCAACGCAATTTAAGCCATTATAATAAAGTTACAAATCTTAAGCTATGGCGAAAACCGCCCCGTAGTATTTATGCAACGAATACTTATACTTAATATTGTACTCGTAATTTACGAATTTATTTCCCATAATATCCTACCAAGTTTTTAAATTAAACTGTATTTATGAAAGTATTTTAAGATTTGTTAAATTAACGTCTGTGTGAGATTTAATGAGTTCTGTACAAGCAACTTACCCTTGCTACGCTCGGGTTTGTCCTTAGGTACGTTTTAATTTTTTTGAGCGGAATCGCCGTTTCTCAGATTAGCCGGAACAAACAGACAGTCAAAATTTTTAAAAATGTGTGTTTTCTTATATATACCTATCGTATATTCTTTCATATGCATTTAGTAAAAAGCTGTTATTTTGACATTACAAACAGACACTTCAATTTCATTTATCTCTATAGATTAAATTGTAAGGCAATATGTATATTTATTATTCACTGTTCGTATAAATTGTAATGAATATTTAAACTAATTTTTATTTTTTAATATAAAAAAGAAGTAGATAAGAAAGTAAGAATAACCGTAATACACTTATGAAATAATCAATTTCGAAACTCCTCGAAATAAATGTGGTATTGATAAAGAAATTATCCACTTACGAAATGAATTAGACATGCATAAAAATTCCAGCAAACAAATGACGTAACTGTAGGTGATGTAATTTTCATTGCCGTGGAAAAATGTTGTCATTGAAAATGCTTAAAAAAAATAAAACTAATAACACCAAAAGCCATGTCATAGTTATAAAAATACTTTTGGCTATGTATTTTTAACGTATTTAGTGACGTCCTCCGGACAGATTCCGGCCACGGCGGCCAATCTCATTGAGACTTGCCAACTGCGCAGGAGATATTATAGAGCACAAGTCTATACGCACATACACTCTCTATCTCGTTTGCTCTCATGTTCCGGTGGGACGACAAATCAGCACTACCAGTAAGAGGTTAGACGCAGGACTTACGCTTTAGACTCGACCTTGACCACTAGACCACAGAGGCAGTTAGAAGTAGATATATAATAAACTCTTCAATACTAATTAAAACAAATAAAATGGGTCCATATAAAAGAAAACTATGTTATTAGTTACTGATTGTAATTTTCATGTGCGAATCATTTCTAACACGATTACCACTTGCCTTACGGTGAAGGAAAACATCGTGAGGAAACCTGCATGTCTGAGAGAACCTAGCAAGTTTTCGAAAGACATGTGAAGTCCGCCAAGCCACACTTGGCCAGCGCGGTGGACTATAGCCTGATTCCCGTCATATCGAAGGGAAGCCCGTGCCCAGCAGTGAGACGTTAAAAAGGGCTGAATACATATAAGTTAAATAACTTTATTTATATTAATATTACTTGTTTTTTAGTTATTCTTATACCACGTAGTAAGTACCACAAAATGTTGGTAAAAGACGCCTCAGCATAGTTAGGGCTTTAGTAACAGCACGGCTCATGTAAATTTGTGAAGTTAATAAGATAAAAGATTATATAAGTTGGTACAGTTGAATATCGGTAACTGGTTTACATTAACACTATTAACTTCGCCCACGCATCTCGTCAATGTCGATCTTTGTTGAGACCTATGACTTCGGCGACACGTGTATGAGAGCAAATGAGTTAACTGGCCGTAACTAAGTTCTCGTCACATAAGACTGTCTTATTGAGTTTGGGTATTTACTATGGTTTTATTATTAACTAGCGACTCACCCTCGCTCACGGTTAGTATAGATTTCTCAGAGATGAGATATTTTCCCGCAGTAAAAAAAAGTATTTAATAAATATAGTGAATTTTGATCTGGATAATCTGATACCATCATACCAAATTTCATCAAAATCTGTCCAGTGATTTTCTTCTGATGCGTTCCCGGACGGACAGACAGACAGACAAAAATTTTAAAAAGTAAAAACTATAGATTCGGCCTCTGTATCCATAATAATGACTATTTCAATAAGATTTTTCCAAAAAATATTTATTGTACAGATTCGACTTGGTTAGAATTTTATTATATGTGTAGACTAGCTTAAACATCTAAATTGTTAGAACCCCGAGATACCAACACGAAATAAATTTGTACATATGTATGTAGTATGTATATTTACATGAATTGCTTATTTAATATTATAAGAGTTCATATGACTAATATGCGTATTTTTAATGGTAGTGTTAATATGAAAAAAATATTAAATATACACGAGAAACCGGTTGACCGCATCTGCTGAGTACGACGTAATATGACGTATTTGGGGCATGGACAAGGCTAAGATAAAGAAACGTAACTAGCTATTGTAAGGTGCTCTATACATATACGCGTGTACACAGGCATGATAATCACGCCAATCCGTCACTCTGTTCCGAAGTGAGAGAAGAACAACGAAACAAACACACTTTCACCCACATAATATTAATATGGATTATTATTTTTAAAAAATTGTAATCGTAGGTTAGAAAAAGAAATAGGTCAGATAAAACAGTAAAGCAATGAAGGTAAATTGGTATTTATCGAACCATAATTCGTACTAACTATTCAATAGGCACAAAACCACTACTAATATAAAACTTAAATAATATACATTGTACTGTTCTTAAGACCGATTCCGGCCACGGCGGCCAATCTCATTGAAACTAGCCAACTGCGCAGGAGATATTATAGTGCACAAATGTACACGCAGACACAACGTGCACTCTCTATTTCCTGTCACTCTCATACTCCGGTGGGACGACTGCTCGACACGACCAGTGAGAGTTAAGGCGCAGGACCGACGGCTTTACATGCTCTCCGAGGCACGGGGGTGAAACACCGCCAACTTCCCAACTCCGGGCTGTGACAGAGGCTTACTATACAAAAAGACTCCATAACTAAACTTGGCCCGACCCGGGACTCGAACCCAGGACCTCCGGGTGTTCAGCCGTACATGCTAGCCACTACACGACCGAGGCAGTTAATATATAATGTATATACATACTAATAAAAACGTGTACAGCTGTGGCATAAATATATTATTCACTTGTAATATCTGTTACTTAACTAGCAAACTGTCAATAAAGCACGTAATTTGTGCCTTCTGTGATAAACTCAGCCTCAAATGTATATGTATGTTCATACACATAAGTTTCCGGAAGTAGATATATCATATCATACTATATTCCTCTCTCTCTTTGTTCTTTGTGTCTCATTTTTTTATATAAATATTAAATAGGTAAATTCATATGTTTTCCCCAAATTTTTAATAATAATTATGGTCAAATTTCGACTGGACGAACATTAGAGTTGAATGTTATCTAAATAATGAAATAAGTAAAAAAATCTAAGTAAAAAAATTTGTTTACCTATTTTATTTTCAAGTTTATTTTAAACTGTCTAAACTCTATGTTCACTGTGTTCTACTTGTAAAGCCCTATTATTTGATACCTATATTGAGGGGGCTGTGAAAAAATATGTAGGTGTGGGTCATTTTCTGGCGGCGGGCATCTTGGATTTCCAATGAAACTGAATATATCTAAAATAGTATTGTCATCAGAACTAAACGTGTGTACCAAATATCAGGTCAATCTGTCAACAGATGGACCCAAAGTCCCAAACAAAAGTGACAAGCAAACTAAGACCTAAAAGTTTAAAAAAAGGCTCTAAACAGAAAATATTTTTTGTAAATTTTTAACAAAAAAATAAAAACCGACTTCAAACAAAAGCACTAAAAAGTAAAAAAATAACTGATTGGTAGTTTTCATTTACTATACATACCCAATCAAATGTTTTCGAAGTCGGTGTGCTTTGGCTAAGTAATTAAAGCCTACTTATTAAATACATACCTAATCAAATATTTTCGAAATCCGGCCAGCCCATACAAAGCAAACAACACAAAAATTGTCCAAATCGATTAATAAATAAATGACGGAGTTCTGAGGTAACAAACATAAAAAAAAATACAGTCGAATTGAGAACCTCCTCCTTTTTGAAGTCGGTAGAAAATAAAAAAACTAACGCGTTAAAAAGTGGCTATTAAATCTAAGGAAAAAAAATGGGACATAAAAAAGTGCTGTATGTACATAAAAAACAAAAGTGAAAGTATATTAAAATAAATTAATTTAAATAATATTAATTTAAATAAATAATATTCGTTTCTATGTTAGATAACATATTTAAATAAATAATAAGAATTAATAAATTGAATGTGTGACGATTAGATACTTTTTTGTTTTTTGAATATCCAAATATGTCAATGTATTAATTAATACCTACTTGTAATTATTCGCAATTTTCTAATATGTCTTTATTTTCGCAAGTTTACTATAATATTATTATTATTCCCACTTTCGGATGACCAAAAACAAAATTCTTAAGTTTTACATATTAGTATACTCTTAGATTGCAGTTTTTGTATTTTTTTCATAGAAATGAGACATTTACACGCGGTAAAGAGTATCCTATATGTTGACCCAGATAACCAGCTCTCTAACCTCCAGTGGTTTTTCTGTGATGACAGACAGACAGACAGACAAAAATTCTAAAAACTATAGATTCAGCCCCTATATCGATAATAATGTCCAATAATTTCAATAAGATTTTTCAAAAAATATTTAATGTGCAGATTCGACTTAGT